ACTTTCCCATTCAGTCCATTTTCCCTCCTCCCCCAGATCGAACCCTCCGAGAGAGTATGATCGGGATGGGCTTCTCACCGCCGCTGCTTGTGTTCTGCAGAGAGGCGCCGTCGCGGTCGCAATGTATCCTTCTTCAAGCCTTTCTCCTCCGACTCGAGTAGAGGATGTGCCCACACACACACACATACACACAGACAGACACACCAACTCAGATTCACACACTCACACACACGGTGGCTTTTCTGAGTCCGTCCTAGCCCGCACAATATGCCCGAGGCTGAGCCGATCTGGAGTCTCTCCATGAGTGGCATAACGCTGTGAAGACTGGCGCGCCGGTTCTGTATTCGCCTAATCCCATGACGCCCCTCCCTCCCCATGCATACTAGCATAGGAATTCATCCTCACTCTTTGGGCAAAGTCCAGACCGGGCCTACGCCGGACGGTGTTGGGGACGTCATTCCACTCGACTTTTAAGAGGCAATATTTGGCCCATCATTATTGGATTTTGCAAACATATGTTTGCGTGCTAGTGTGTGTATGTGTGTGCATGTGTGTTTTGACGCAACAGAGCGTGAAAGTGTCGAACGGGGGAGGTGAGAGGGCGTAGGGAGTTGGACAAATGATGGCTTTTCGGGCCGGCACACTCTCTCACGCCACAGCGAGGCGAATGAAACTGGATGTGGTCCTGATGGAGGTGAATGTGGGTGTGGTGATGCTAGGTGGAGGGTGTGTAATTGGCTGTGATACTGAGCTAATCCCTGCATATTTCTGGCCAAATAGGCGATCAGTCAGGGGAAAAGTCACAAATGCTCGGACATACGGGCCAGTCGTGAGAGCGAGAGAGAAAGAAAAAGAGAAAGCGAGTGAACGACGATCGAGATCACCTCCGTTTTTTCTCTGCCGCATCAAATAAGAGAAGGTAAAGAGTGAATGAGGCGTTAACAGGGCGACTTCTTCGGGCCGCCCTGGACACCGCCTGTTGAGGAGATTGGGACTGGCGGCTTTTGCCGAGCCAAGCGGGTGGGCCATTAGAAGACCGTACATAAACATCCACAGTCAAAGTTACGAAGACGACGTGACTAATTATGCTCGAGTATCCACAAGGCAGAGACAGCCCAGCTCAGCAACAAGGTTGCTAGGCCTCGTCTTCAAGAGAATCTCCCGCAAGAAAATATCCTCTGCCTAACATGGTCTCATCAACTCTGAGTCCACTTAGTGCGGAAAAGTCGTTGTTGTGCTGGTGTGTGTAGGTGTGTGTATGTTTATGTGTGATAAGTTTTATAACCCCATGAAAGGCGTCGTATTCAAATGATCACTTCCAAAGGACACTTTCCAAGTGGTCC